TCAAGATTCAGAGGTTATGAATTTGGATCTTCCTATAGCCTTTAGAAAATGAACACGTTCTTGTACTACCAAATATCCCATTTCAAAATACCTATCCTACAAAAAAATCTCACACAAACATCAAGCTTTTTTATCATAAATTTCTAATTTGTTTGAACCCAGAACAATACAAGAAGTTCTTAGTAATCCAAATTGGAGAATAGCGGTAAAGGAAGAGATTGATGCTCTTTTAAAAAATGGGACCTGGAAAATTGTCACTCTACCAAGAAACAAGTCTGTTGTTGGGTGTAAATGGGTCTTCACTACTAAAGTCAAACCTGATGGGAGCATCCAAAGATATAAAGCAAGATTAGTAGCGAAAGAAATCACTCAAACTCATGAAATTGACTATCATGAAACATTCGCTCTGGTAGCCAAGCTCAATTCTATTCGGGTTTTACTGTCCATAGCAGCAAACCATAATTGGCCATTGCATCAACTCGACGTTAAAAACGCTTTTCTAAACAGTGAATTAGAGGAGGTATTCATGGATCTTCCACTAGGATTTGAGAAGAAATTTGGAGAAGACAAAGTGTGCATAGGATTTGAGAAGAAATTTGGAGAAGACAAAGTGTGCAGATTAAAGAAATCATTGTATGGGCTCAAGCAATTTCCTCGCGCCCGATTTGAGAGGTTTGGAAAGGTGATTACAAAATATGAATACACTCAGAGTCAAGCTGATCATACTATGTTCTACAAACATTTAGAAAGTGGTAAACTCGCTATACTCATTGTCTATGTAGATGATATTATCCTTACAGGAGATGATGCTAGGGAAATTGAGAAATTAAAAAAAAATTGGCCACAAAATTCGAGATTAAAAATCTGGGAGATGTAAAATATTTTCTTGGTATTGAGTATGTCAGATCTGAGGGGATTTTTATTAATCAGCGAAAGTATGTACTCGACTTACTCAGTGAAACCAGAATGCTTGGGCGCAAAACAGCTGAAACCCCGATTGAACCAAATAAAAGGTTACAAGTGACAAATAAAATAGATGGAGTCAATAAAGAATGATATCAGAGACTGGTGGGAAAACTAATCTACTTGTCACACACTCATCATGATATAGCATTTGTTGTTAGTATGGTAAGTCAGTTTATACATTCTTCAAATACTCATCACTTGGAGGCTATTTATCGGATCCTTAGATATCTGAAAGGAACACAAGAAGTGTCGTGGCAAAAAGCAGCGCTGAAGCTGAATTCATATTTGTGGCCCATATGATATGTGAAGTTCCATGGATTAGAAGAATTCTCCAGGAGTTAAAAATTCATAGTTCACCATCAATAAAGATGCACTGTGATAATAAGTCTGTCATCGCATCGCCCACAATCATGTCCTTCATGATAGAACAAAGCACATAGAGATAGACAAACACTTCATCAAAGAAAAAATTGACATAGGAGATATTTGCATGGTGTATGTTCCCTCTAACAACCAAGCAGCGAATATTATAACAAAGGGTCTTCACAAAAAACAGTTCGACGATTTAGTGTGCAAGCTGGCTCTGAAAGATATCTTCATGCCAACTTGAGGGGAAGTGTTGAAAGATTTAATTCAAATTACAATTTATTATTACAATTTATTGTCTTTCCTCTTATACAGATATTATTCTCCTAATTTATATCATGTGATAACTGTACCAAATCTTGTTTAATTAGTCTTGCAATGTAATAGGAAATTATTTAAACATATTTAGTTAGTTTCCTTATCTAAGGAGGATTATCTAAGGAGGAGGGACGGGACTCCTATATGTAAAGGCAATTTGAATTGAATCAATAAGAAAAAGCGAATTTTCTCTCACTAATATGCATTGTAATCTTCTCAAGTACTCCAAGAAACTATGAAAGAATTGTACTTGAAAGATGTACTTCTACTCAACCAATTCTTAGACATATAGGAATCTTTTACGGAGTTGGGATGCTAAATTTGACCTCAAGAAAATGAACTATTCCTCTGAATCCCCACTTCAAAAACTCAATAAAAATTATACAATCCTAATTGAATATGTATTTGTTGTTCAACTTCGATCTTGAACTTTCTTGCATGGAGTTCTACGTAGCGCTAGTGTAGTTGTTGGCTTCTTCAACTTACCTATAGAAACAAAGATCACATTAACCTTAGAATTCTTAAGAGGAACTCCAATAAAGAACTAAACTTTGTGAAATTCGAGTGGAAGCTTCTCCTCTAGGAGTAGTAATTTGAGGACACTCTAGAAAATTTAAGACTTTGTTGAGTAATTTCAAAAATATCTTAATGATAAGACCTTAAGCTAAGGCTTAAAGGTTATAAGAGTAGCAATCTCCTTGAAAAGAATCTCCATTATATGTTGCACTTGAAATTTGAGGTTCTCATTTCATGCTCAAATTCCAAGACCTCAAGATATACAACAACAACAGAACATTTATCCCACTAAGTTGGGTCGGCTATGAATCATTTTTCTCCATTGCATCCTATTTAGTGTCATATTTTTATTTAATTATAAAAAATTAAAATCATTTTTTATACAATATGTCCAAGTCTTCTTAGGCCTACCTCTGTCTTTCTTAACATAAGTCGAATCTAAAACATTTACTCTTCAAATCGGATCATCAGATGATCAACGTTTAATGTGACCAAACCATTTAAGACGACTCTCTCTAATTTTGTCCGTCATTGGAGCTACACCAACCCTATCACGGATATATTCATTTTGCATTTTGTCTCTAAGTTTAAAGCCACTCATCCACCTAAGCATTCTCATCTTAGCAACAATTAACTTAGTAGTATTTGTCTCTTTTAAAGGCCAACATTCGGCGCCATAGAGCATTGCAGGTCTCACCACCATCTTATAAAATTTTCCTTTCAGCCTAAGCGGCACTAATCTATCACCCAATAGGCCCGAAGCATTCTACTTCGATCAAACAACTTGAAATTCTACTAACAACAACCCCATCAATATCACCGTCACTTTGAACAATAGACCCGAGATATCTAAAGCGTTCACACCTTTTAATAAATTAATCATCAATAGCTACATTTCTGTCACTAAAGCTACTACTACTAAAATTACATTGCATGTATTCAGTTTTAGTTATAGTCAAATGAAGGCCTTTAGACTCCAAGGTAGACCTCCATAATTCAAGTTTTTCATGATTGTTTCTCTCGTATTATCCATGAGAAGGAAATCATCAGCAAAAAACATACACCAAGGTACATCCTCTTGTAAGTGTCTAGTAAGACCACCCATAACTAAAGCAAAAAGATATGGGCTTAAAGCCAATACTGATGTAAACCAACAAAAATAGGAAATAATTTGGTCAATCCTTCATCTGTTCGAACACAAGTAACAACTCTTGTATACATATTAAATGACTTAAGTATAAGTCATATCAAAACCTTTCTTCTCTAGAACTCTCCAAAGGACTTCTGAAATCTTATCATAAGTTTTTTCTAAACCAATAAAAATTATAAAATCCATATGTAGAACCTCCTTATTATCTCTGAACTTCTCCATCAAACCTCTCAATAAATGTATAGCTTCCATAGTAGACATACCCAGCATAAATCCAAATTGATTGTGAGAAATCTTTGTTATACGTCTTAACCTGTGTTCAATTACCCTCTCCCAAAATTTTAAAGTATGACACATCAATTTAAGTCCTCTATAATTTGTACATTCTTGTGCATCCCCTTTATTCTTAAAAATGGGACCAAAATACTCTTCCTCCACTCTTCGGGCATATTTCTAGTTTAAAAAAAATATTAAAAAGTTAAGTACACCAAGAAACTCCCAAATCTCCTAAATATTTCCACGTTTCAATTAGGATATCATCCGGTCCTACAAACTTTCCACCCCCGGTTTTCTTCAAAGCCTCCTCTTTAAAGATCTCAAGATATAGTTGGATAAAATTTCATTTCTTTTCATTCCTCAACCACTAAGTCTCCAATAGTGGCCTTCTGTTCTTGGCAAATCTTTTGATGAAGATTTACTCAACCTATGTGATCACATCTCTATCACTTCACCTATAAAAATGGAATAGTTACCGAGGCCCCCTATTTTTTCCCTCTTCGGGAAAAACTCCAATTCAGATCATCTCTCTCAATTTCTTGAAGAAACTGAGAAGTCACTATTTCTCAACCTTCCAAATTTCTTCTCTCTTCAATCCTCTCACATCTAAAGGATTGAATTCAATAAAAATGGAAAAATCAAACAAATTCAAACAAAAGGAAGAAGTAAAATCAAGAAAAAAAAATATAAATCTTCATGATCTCCACCAAAAGCTCTAGGTTGAAAAATAGGTTTGACCAATAATAACGCTCAATGTGCACCTAGCAATTAGAAAATGAAAACTGACTTAGTTGATTTAAACATTTTTGCAGTGCAATATGAGGAACAACCATAGTATCTTCACTATAATAAGAGAAAACTATAGTCTCTACCTAGAAAAATGAATGCCAAAAGACTATTGTATACTAAAATCCTCATGCAACATAATAAATGAAAATAATACATGCAAAATAGCATTAAAATGCTGGCGGAAACCACATGAAATAATCTCACAACACAAATTAGAGTAAAGTGCACGAGATAAGAGGAAGGAAATCCAAGATTAAGGGGTTGTTTGGTAGATCCATTTAAGAAACATTTTGCACTAGATTTACCGCAAATCAGGCCAAATGGCAAGATTCACACACATAAATCCAACACCCCTTAAATCCGATTTTAGCTTCACTACCGGCTAAATCCTGGAATTTAATGTATGTACTAATTCTGGATTTACAGGATTTACCAAAACCTATTAAATTTACATCCTTGTTGCGGCCAAACAGCCCTAAAATTAATAATCATTCTAAAAGAAAAGTAAAGCACATTAACAAGAAAAACATAACAAAATTAAAATTGCATTGCTCGAAAAAAAAATGAAATAAGCGGGAGGCACAATGGCAGAAGAAGTAGCAAGAAAAGAATAACTCACATCCAAGCTTATTCTCAGCTTCTGCATGTGTGAGTAGGCTTCCCGTCCCCAGCCAATGTGAAAAAGCTAGCAAAGAAACTGCTGTCTGCGTCTCGCTCCTCCAATCAGAATGATACCTTAACCACCAAAATCGCTAAAAACCAAAAGCAAATTTCCTGGAAAAAAAAAGCCTCACAAACAGTCGAACTGCGAAGAACCACGAACTCACCTATAATACTGCCCAGGACACTCACGAAGAATCTCAGCGAGCCGTCCATAGTGACCCCTAAGCACTCCAATCTGAGCATTAGCTTTCTTTAACACCTCTGCCACCGATCAAAGCAATCCCAAATCAAAAAACCTAAACCCTAACAAAACCTAAATCTGGATCTCAAGCACCGAACCTGGAGGAGGGATGGACTGGTGCACCAACAGAAGGTCCGCATGCATGACCCGAAGAACAGCCTCTATCTCCGACGCCACTGATCGGATCAGCTCACGGACGTTTCCGGACTCTTCCAGCTGGTCGCGGAAGTACTCAAACTGTGTCTCCATAGAAGAAGAGAATGGAATGGATGGTCCCTGTCCGCCGCCGCAGCCGCCACCGTCGCCATCTACGCCTCCTGCAGCAGCAGTTGCAGCGGCATTAGTAGTGGTCATCACCATTGGCGGAAGTGAACCGGAGGAGTCGGAGAAGCTGCGAAGGAGTGAGGAGAAAGGAAGAAGAGGGGGTAGGAGAGGGTTTCGAGGGAGAGAACGGGAGAAAGAGACGCTGGAGGTTGCTGAATAGAAGACAGCGGTACGGAGCGCTACTCTCATCGGAGAGATTCAGCGGATAAATGAGCGTATCTCCCACTGATTAAATATAATTAAATGCTACAAAAATTCTTATAATCAAATGCTCATCATAAAACTATTTGATATGTATTTTAATATTTTTTTACTAAATTTATAAAAATATACATATGAAAATTATAAATAGATGGCATTCGTTAAATGAAATTTTGGAGAGAATAGCAAAGAGTTCTAAATCACATTATTTTTTTAATATATATTTTACAAAAAAAAAAAAAAAAAAAAAAAAAAAATAGGAACTCATATTCATCTCATGTTCATCTTTTCTTTTTTTAATATCCTAAACTCTCTTCATCACATATTAACTTAATATATCATTTATTAATTATTTTAAACATAAGTTAATTTAAAATTTAATATAATAAAAAGGATCATTCATAGGAATCCTTAAATCTTAAAAGGAAAATTTACATATACCACCCAATTCTTGTGTATTTATATATCTAATACTTAAAATTTCAATTTTTAAATATATAATTTGTTCTACCTATGCATGAAAACATTTATATCATATTTTTAAAATTAAAATAGTGATATTTTCTCATGAAATGAAAGACTTGATTGATATAATCATAAATAGCAAAATTAGAAGTTGGATATATAAATACATAGGAATTGTGGGTGCTATGCACATAAATGCCCCAATCTTAAAACAAGTAATCATATATAACATGCACTCATAGACTTGATACCTTCCTAAAGAAATCAAGGACGTGTTTGGTTGCAGACTAAATTGATGTTACATAAGATTTATCAAATCCAGCAAATCCAATCATTAGTGCGACGGAGATAAAATCGTAAGCGACTGTGGGAAAAAAAATTCTTAAATTCATCTTGTAATTACATGATTAAATATAGATTTATGTCCTGTAAAAGAAGAAACACCTGAAAAATAAAAAGACAAAAAGCAACAAATTTTGATTTGATTGTGCATTGAATATTTTTTTTTTTATGTTTGGTTAGATTTAAGTCATATTTATTATTAAATCGTCTTTAAATTGTGCTTTCAAATACCACAAAATGTTTATAATCACTAATAAATATTATATGCTTCTGATTTGTTTGGGGCAACTGCAACTAATTAAAAAGTTGCAGTGAAACTGTTGAATAATAATCAGATGTTTTAAAAGTTGTGTTAGCTATTATAATTTTTTTAAGACTTTGTTTGGGGCAGTGTATCTGTTGCGACGGTGTTTTGAAAACGCCGTCTCACTATTTTGAAATTGCATTTGAGCAGCTTATCCAAAAATACAGTTGATTTTTTACACCAAACGCGGAATGCAGGTCGAACCTATGGTTCGCGTTTCAAGATAAGCGATTTATTGGGATAAGCAAGAGCTCCCCAAATATACTTTAAGTCAGACTACAATTAGAAAGTTATCACCGCACCTAACCAGAAGTGATGGGAAAAACATAATTTAGTGAGAGCTTTTTCAAGCTGTCAAAAGAAGTTTACCCAATTAAACAAAACTGTGATGCATTGCGGCGGCATCACCGCACCACCGCCCTAAATGGACAATTAGCCTGAATGCATATCCAAATTTCACGTAAAATGATGTTATACATATTATACAAATTACAATATAATATATATAATATTATTGGACATGAAATTCAGATTCATCAATACTCTCCATGGCAACATCAAAAATTAGAAATTACAAAGGATCTAGTCAAAACAAATGAAGCAGCGCGCACTTGGAAAAAACGAACTATTGTTAGGGTTACAGACGGCTACATCTAACAGCATTTACTTAAAATTTAGCTCTACATATAGAAAGATTACTGTATACCGCCGAACAGCTTCAGAGAATTACTCGGGGGATAAATCACACAATCCCAACAGAAGAGATCAGCTAATCCTCCTGAGGTTGCGCGATGGCGGCGCGGCTGTCCTCATCGTCGGCGCTCACCGGACGCATCAGCATTGCTGTGTAGTACGGCATATGCCGGAATCCCACCCCCAAATCCTCACCTCCGTCGGACATCGCGGAGAAACCAAAGCCCTTCAGAGCGGCACCGTAGTCCATAATTCCACTGAACTGAAAGTAACCGGTGGGCGGCGCCAGCGGTGGAGGCGGGGAAGGAGGACATGGTGCCGGAGATGAGGTGGCAGTGGTGGCGGAAGGGGGCTGGTTGATTCCACTGCCGGTGGCTGCAAGGATAGAGGGTTCCGCCTGCCGCAGCAGCCACTCGGTCAGATTTATGCCCGAGTTCCCTCGTCAACTGGAAGATCCGCGCCGCGCAGATCGGCGGCAACCGCACTCTCCTCCCCCGCCCATTCACCTTCGTGTGCCGATCCTTCGACGATCCTCCCTCCCGTTTCTTCCCTCTCACATCGGCCATCTCAGACCGCATCTGAAGTGGTTCGGCGGTGATGGCGCCGGAGGAGTGAACGGCGGTTGGATTATAGATCAAGAGGTCCGATGCGGGTGGGGATGGCGGCGAGGGGGATGGCGGTGATGGCATGAGAGTGAGGGAGGTGGGGCCGGGCATGGCGAGGGTTTTGTGGAGAGATAGCAACAGCGGGGAAGTGGAGTATTTGTGGTAAGGGGAGAGGAATTCGGGGACGGGGAAGAAGAGGAAATCTAGGGTTTCGGGATATTGGATGATGATTTTGACAGGTCTGCATATTTTTGAAAAGCGGTCTAGGTGAGTGGCACTCGCCCGAATCATATTCATATCTTCTTCTTTGTCCCGGTTCGATAACCGGGTCAGACCAGGCCGATTAGGTTCATGGATAAACACGGTTCAGAAAAGTCTAAATTGTGGTGTGGTATTTACATATTGTTAAAAATGATCCTTGTTCATGATCCGCTCTTGTTTGGCTCGTTAGTAGCTCGTGTTCAAATCATTCGTTAAATTAGCGAGTCGAACACAAATAAATCTTTTATAAATGAGTCGAACACGAAAAAACCTTTGTTTGATCGTGTTCAACTAATTTTAGCTCGAAATTAGAAAATTATATATATTTTTTTCATAATCATATATTATATATATTTAAATCTAAGTTTAAGTCACTATATCTGATATGGTCATATATGATTTTGTGTTTTTATTCCATAAGATATGTGTCACTATATCTGATATGGTTATATATGATTTTGTGTTTTTATTCCATAAGATATGTGCAAATTTGAAGCCAACTACCTACATTTTTTTTTCTAATTAATTTTAAAGAGACAATTTGTATCCAAATACGAATAAAAATGAGTAGATCGAGTCAAGCACAAACGCACTATCTACGAGCATTAATTTCGAACACGAGACAATTTCAAACAAAACTAATTTCAAATAAGCTAGACAAGAGCTAAGTCAGCGCTTGCACAAGCATGACTGATTTATAATAATATATGCTACAACTTTTATTTGTAGAATATTGTTGCTATTAGATTATGCTACTTTTTTTTTATCAAAATGTTTTACTATTACTGAATAAAACTAGGGAGAAAATATGGATAAGAATTAAAATAAATTCTTTCAATAAAATGGGCCTAAATATTATGTATAGGTCAAGGCCAAACAGGCTTTAACTCCAAGCCTTCACCACTTGTGTCAAATATATAAAATCTCTAGCCCGTTGCTACTATTGAAATATCATGACTATGATTATATGTCAGAAGACTCGTTGTGAGAGAGTGATAATTTAACGTCTTAATATTATACGAAGATTCAATATGCATACTGATATAATAAATGTAACGAGAGAATAGCCAAAACTTTATTTGTGAAAAAATTTTGAAAAAAGAAAAAATGACAGGGCAAAGTGGCTACTAAAAAAGCCTAATTATATTTACAAGTTTATTTCATTTCATAAATTCTATAATTTTAGGTTAAGTAGCATGAAGCCAAAGGCAAAGCCAAATATTATTAACGAAATACATACATAAATGTTACCTAAATGCATAATTGATTGTTGAATACATGCTTAAATTAATGTATAAAAGGCTGATTAAACATAATTATTAAATAAATAAAATAATCACCAAAATAGAACTGCTTTGTTATTGAATTAAATAAAAATTACTGCTAATCTAATGAATTAACTAATATTTTTTTTTGCAAAAAAATTTAATACATTTTTATTTTTCATTTTATTTAGTGATTATTATAAATCCTCCGGCTATAAATAAGGAATTAGAGTTATATATTAATGTAATTAAAACGCCCTTCTTCTTTAAGTCCATGTCATTCACACTAAACAAGACCGTTCTCACTTCCCCTCTCTGTTAATTCTTATTTCTAACCATTTTTAAGACAAAGGAGAAAGAGATTATTAGTGTCAATATATAGTTTCTTTTTTAAATAATTAATAGTTTATATGTATGCATGTATGTATGTATAGCCCACCTCTGTCATAAGTTTATCTACAAAGCATTGATCTTTTCGATTAATATTCCTCTTGTTAGATCCTAATTTGTCCTTTTTTATTCCTCTTGGAACAACATATTTAAAGTGGTTCAATTAGTACAATTAAGAAAGACATAATTGTTATGATAACCACACTCAGTAGAATCGATGCGTATAATTTGAATTTATGATTGTCATAACTTTTTAAAAAAATAATGGCTTATAATGATTTATCATTTTAAATAAATATTATCGATCGTTTGGGTGACATTTTGTGTTGTTCAGCAGACTGAAATTTGCCTATGTCTAGAGGAGACAACCATTTAGCCTAAATATGGTCAAGTGCCTTGACAAGAGGCCTAGTCGATGGGTTCTACGAGATATGCCGCTTCAGTCGGTTAGTCGACTGATAGGTAAACTCGTTTCGTCAAGTGAGTCGTGGTTCACTGGTTAATTGGTTCAAGTCTTACAAGACTTGCGTCTAGTTCGTCAGGATGATTTGTATCTTGCCCTTGGCAGATCTTGCGGCTACCAAGTAGGAAACCATTTCCGAAGTTTTGTTCTATCTTGGGCTCAGAGACACAGCTTCTCATGCTTGGCGTTGGATTGTCGGTTGATCGTTCTCTTTGAGATTTATGTTCATAATACTGGTGTATACATATTAGTTTCCTGAGTTTTTTGTTTCTTAGTGACGATATATGTGTAAAGACAGGGAAATTACTACTTAATAGTGTCATGCAAACCAAAAATGAAGAATTTAATAATCGGTTCTCTTTTTATTTTTCTTGTCTTGTGTGTCTTATAAATAAGGCAAAGAATTGGGTTATTTATCTGTTGTTGATGCTTTATGGATGTTGAGTAGGTATCATATCGGGTGGTACTAGCAAATAATGGGTGTGTTATGGAGGCAATGACCTGAAATGGTGGACGTGTCGTGGAGGTAGCAACTTAAAAGATGGGTGTGTCGTGAAAGTATTGACCTGAAAGGTTGAGTGTACACGAGGTGCATTGACTCGAAAAAGTGGGAAAGTCATTGAGGCAGTGACCCAAAAGGGCATGTGTGTCGTGGAGGTTGTGGCTTAAATAATGAGAATGACGTGGATGCAGTGGCCCGAAAAATGTATATGTTGTGAAGGCAGTGACAAGAAGAAATGGGTATGTCGTGGAGGAATGGTTGCAAGGGTCGGGTGACCGATCGAATAAAAGTGGTCGATTAACCTGGCTGGGGTGACCGATCAAACCAAAGTGGTCGGTCGACCAGGCTGGGGCAACCGATCAAACCAATTTGTCAGGTCGACCAGGTCGGGGGCGACCGATCAAAGCTAAGTATAATGACGACCGGGTCAGTGATGTTAGTTGAGGCGAAGTGTAATGTTAATCAAGTCGGGGCGGCCGGTCGAGGTAGAGTGCATTGCCAATCGGGTTGGGGCAGGCAGTTGAGGAAAAGTGCGGTGTGTAAAATGCAACATGTGAGATGTGATACAATAGTGAGTCATACTCGACTAAGGCTCTCACATAGGAGTCTAGGGTTTTAGCTCTTGGATTTGCGGTTTAGCCGCCTCCGACATTGGCAAGGGAACATGAAGAACTCCATTCTCTAATCTCTTGCAGAAGTCCTTCATAGTTTGTAGGGCGGGCTTGCTACAAATATTTTTCAATTCAACAAACATTTAGCTTCAAAGTCTTTTCCATTCTTCTAGACCCAACCATTCCAACCTTTTCAAGGAAGTTTGGAAGCGTTAAAACCACGAGAATTTGAGATTCCAACCTAATAGGATTTAGGTATAATGCTTGCAATGAGAAGTCACTTGGTTTCACAAAGGATTTTGCCACACATGTGATTCCTAACCAATGGCTTCCTCTAAGAGACAAACAACCAATCAATAAGTGTGTGCCCATGTTGACTAGTGTCAACCGGCCAACTTGCCTATCGTGGGCAATCAAACCCACGAAGACACCACAAAATTAGCCAATCAAAAGACGTATGGTTGGATTGACTGTTGTTGTCCCTCTAGCTCTCTCAAGCTCTTCAAATATTCTCTTTAGCTCTTGCGAGAAGCCTCTCAATGGTGGAAAAAAATGAAAAAAAAAAATGGAACTAAGAAGAAAAAGGATTTCTTCTTCACTTGAGCTCCTCCTTCAGAAATCTCTCTTTGTTTTCTCTAGAATTCTCTTCCTCATTTAGAATAATGGTGTTCCCCTCAAAATGTGCTCTCTCCCCTCCTTTGTTTGGTTTGCCAAGACCCAAAAATTTATCTATGCCTGTAATTTTTTTAAAATTTCTACAAATAGTATAATTATAATTGATTAATATTAAAAAAAAAGATTTTAATTAATGCATGAATTTAGCTTATTTACCCTTAAATGCTCTATTTATGATTAGTTTGGGGCATTTACATGCATTCCACTCATTTCTATGTATTTACAAACATAGCACCAAAATTATGCATATCATATTTATACCCCTAATGTTACATTTTGACATTATAAATACCACTATTTTAATTTAAAAAAATAGCCAATTACATCCTTCCCTTACGCAGGTAAGATGACATGTATATAATTTTGAAATTTAAATGTTAGAAATATAATTACATAAGAACTAAGTGATATGTATGTTAGGGGTGTAAGTAAGCCAAAAGGACTAAAAAATTGGCTCTTTAATCAAGCTTCATGAGCTAACAAGCCCAAGCTCAAGTTCAAGCTGAACTCGGCTCAACCCATCGTTTAAGAAAAATGTTTATATAAAATATACAAAAAATATATTAAATTTTAAGACTTTATTTTTAAATTACTAAAAATATTTAAAAATATATATTTCATATTAAATAATTTTTGTTATTTAACTTTTTAATTCCTCAAATTACTTATAATTTTATTATATCATTAGTTTAAATTTATAAATATTTTTTTTTACACCATTCAAAAAGGCAATAAGAATTTTTTGTTTATTTTTTACTGTATTTTTATGATTATTTATAGAACCACAACTCTGTATATTAAAAAAGAGAAATTCGTACAGTCGGTGCAGGTCAAAGCACCGTTACAGTAAAGTGACCCACACGTGCGGTGGGGGACCCCACATGGCCGAACATGTTGCCGGATCAATTTAAGACGAGAAAAAGTAGGCGGGGCAACGGGCCGCATAATTCAGCAGCCTACTTCGTCCGTACCTAAGCTTTTCTCGTCCCTGTTTCGTACGGATTTTTTTTTTCAATTTAATTATTATTTAAACTTATAATATTAAACATTAGATAAGAAAATATAAAAAGATAGAGTGAAAAATATATATATTATTAAAAAAGAAGTTTTAATAATGATAAGCTAATATATATATATATATTGATGCGTGCTAGAAAATTCTTTTGT